AGACATCTCGGCATGATTTGACAATCGCGCGTCTCCCACGCTCCATGTAAATTCCAGGTACTGGTAGATATTAAAGTTAAAGTTCGACATGATCTTCAACATCTAAACGGAGTTTAACTTTCTAACCTACTGCACCAACAGGGTTAATGAGGATGGGCACATGCCATGTAGTTTGCTATGAGCGAAATTTTGCTCGGACAACTGCGTTTCTGTCTGATGTTTGTTTTTTCCCCATTCGAATGACTAGACACTGTTCCCTGCCAGACTCGCCATCCTACACAACTGGCAAGGGAAGGTCATGCTGAAACATCTTGAGCAGCTTTCTAGGCCAACACCAGGATCGACCTGGGACCTTTTGGTTAGTGAGTCAGCACCTTACCCACTGAGCCACTCTTCACCTTCTAAATATAATTTCCACATACCTTTGTATTAAGACCAAGAGTTAGTTGACCTGATTGTTCTAAATAAACCATGAGATAAGCTGGTCCACCAAGATAAAACACCATCCCCTCCTTAGCTCTGCAAAAATGAATAATTGAATGAATGAATTGATCAATCCATGGATCCATGAATTAATGAATCAATTACTTCAAGAACACAACAGATGAAATTTAATTCATTCATTATATATAGCAACATCATATTCATCCGTCATTTTTATGGGAAAACCCCAAAGCTCTTTACAACCACATAAATGAAAAAGAACACTTACAATGACATAGAGGTAAAACCAGCGGCTGCCAGGAAGGATACGCCCACATTTTTTAGAGATGGATAGAGAACAAGCTAAAAACGCGATTTTTCGTACAATCAGGGGCCATAATTCAGGAAGTTACGTCCCGATATGCGCAAATATCGAAAGGAACCAAAATATTTGGGTTATAAACTTACATTTCAAGTTTCATCAAAACAGGATTAAAATTGTGACCTCTATAGGGTCCACAACCTTGATATACCATATTTTTACGCTATTTGAGAACGAACAGCGGCCATTTTGTCTGTCAGTTTTGGGCCGATTTTCACCAAATTCGAACTCAGCCGTCCTTAGGGTGTAACGGTGATATAATCATACGTTTTTTTAAATCAGATAAAAATTATGACCTCTGTAGGGTCCACAAGCTAAAAACGCGATTTTTCGTACAATCAGGGGCCATAATTCATGAACTTACGGTCCGATATGCGCGAATATTGAAAGGAACCGAGATCTTTGGGTTATAAGCATACATTTCAAGTTTAAACCAAATCGGATAAAAATTGTGACCTCTACAGTGTTCACAAGCTAAAAACGTGATTTTTCGTACAATCAGGGGCCATAATCCATGAAGTTACAGTCTAAAAAATGCCAATATCAAAAGGAACCGAGATCTTAGGGTGATATACATATATTTCAAGTTTCGTTGAAATCGGATAAAAATTGTGACCTGTAGACTGTTCACAAACGATTGTGGACGGACGGACAGGGGCAACGACAATATACGTCCACATGAAATGTGAGCGTATAAAAAATCAGCTAAATTTTCAAGATGGAAAAATACAGTCTACTATGTCAACTTGCTACACAGGCATTGGACTGTATCAGAAGTCATTCTGAACTCAACTGTATGAGAATCCAATCTAAATGGATGGAAAGGTTAGCAACTGTATGGAAAGGTTAGCAACTGTTCTGAACCTGTCTTAATCATCAGAAAGAGCAGGACAATCACCAGAAATCTCTGACCCCTCCCACTATTTTCGGACTTACTTTGTTCTAAATTTAAGGTGGAGTATGGTGTGTGTTCTTGGTGTCAACTGTACTGCCATATTTAGGTAACCAAGGTTACTTGTTACTGTGACAACTGGCGATTTTGAACAGAAATCTCTGGGACAACTGAAAAAAAAAATTCCATTCTAGACACAATTGCAGGAGAAATGATGTAAAGTGAATCAAGAGTGAATGAAGTAGTAATAGTTATGAATACTACTAACAATTGTTATGAATCATACTAGCAATTGTTATGAATAATACTAGTAATTTTTGTGAATAATACTAGTAATTGTTATGAATAATATCAGCAACTGTTGTGAATAATATTAGTAATTGTTGTGAATATACTAGTAATTGTTATGCATAATACTAGTCATATTTATGAAAAATTCTTTATTAGTTCTGAATAATACTAGTAATATTTGTGAATAATACTAGTAATATTTGTGAATAATACTAGTAATATTTATGAATACTACTAGTAATTGTTATAAATAATACTAGTAATTTTTATGAATAATACTAGCAACTGTTTTGAATAATCCTAGTAATTGATTGATTGTTGTGAATAATCCTAGTAATTGTTGTGAATAATATCAGCAACTGTTGTGAATAATATTAGTAATTGTTGTGAATATACTAGTAATTGTTATGAATAATACTAGTAATATTTACGAAAAATTCTTTATTAGTTCTGAATAATCCTAGTAATTGTTGTGAATAATACTAGTAATATTTGTGAATAATACTAGTAATATTTATGAATACTACTAGTAATATTTATGAATACTACTAGTAATTGTTATAAATAATACTAGTAATTTTTATGAATAATACTAGCAACTGTTTTGAATAATACTAGTAATTGATTGATTGTTGTGAATAATCCTAGTAATTGTTGTGAATAATACTATTGATTGTTGTGAATAATACTAGTAATAGTTATGAATAATACTAGTAATTGTTGTGAATAATACTAGTAATTGTTGTGAATAATACTAGTAATTGTTATAAAATATTCTTAATTAGTAATGAATAATACTAGTAATATTTATTAATTATTTAAATTAACAAACCTTGATGCAACATTCTGTAGTATATTAGCCTGTGTTAAATTAAGACGTTTATTGCTTGTTTCGATATAATCTATACATGTCATAAGAAAAGCGATCAATCTCTCTGTATCTAACTACAAAAAAAGAACAAAAATCTTTTTAAAACTCACATATGTTTTAAAATTACAAGTCTCATAGTTCGTGTATATAGAGAGAAATTTGGTTTAACGTCCATACAGCACAAACTAGGTTATTTCAGATGTAACATAAGGTTCAATTTTATTTAAATAATTCACTTGCGCATAGCAATGGGAGGAAACCAGAGACAATGGGAGACAACTCATAAAGTTGGACAGGGAGACCCTAAGATTTGTCACATACAAGTGCTGTATCAAAACCACACAAATTGACTCAAAGACAGACCCAATGAATCAACCTTATATTTTACACACAATCTAGTATATCAGGTGTGTGTCCTCACGCCAAACCTGACATTGTCTCCACCCCGGACCTCCCTCTGCTCAAGTTCCTGAACACGCCCCTGAACATGAGAGCATGCCTAGGTCTAGTTAAATCAATTGAAATTAAAGCAATTGTTTTATTTTGTTTATACTATTCAAAAAAAGTAGGGGATATTTGATTTTGGGGGCATAATACTAAAATATGCAAATGACTACGAAAAAAGTCACTATAGAACCTAACAGAAGAAACATTTCCAGTTACATGTGACGCCCAAACGCACCAATAGCTACCGCATAGAATGCAGGTGATGCTTGGGATCATCATGGGGGTCCAACCCAAGATTTGCACGACTCTGACTTTGAATGTTACAGTCATTGTGGCATTGAATTCCAGGGTGGAAACATCAGTTTAATTGTTTTAGTGACCAGAAAACAAATTTTGATATGCGTCGGCTTACCCAAAATGAAAGGTTACGTGCCCTTGGCATGCTACAGATCGGCACAACACAGGCGGTTGTGGCGCGGACGATGAATGTTTCTCAGTCTGTCATAAGCAGGCTATGGTCCAGATACCGTGATACACAATCTGTACAGGACAGACCACGCTCAGGTTGACAAAGGGCGACAACTCAAGCCCAGGATCGATTTATCCGTACCTTGGCCTTGAGAAATCGTGTCATCACAGCAAATCAGATCAGCGCTCGTCTTCAAACAGACACTGGTGTGAGAGTGAGTGGCCAGACGATTCGGAATCGACTGCATAAAGGTCACCTTCGCGCCCGACGTCCTCGCGTGATCCCTTGTTTGAGAGATCATCACATTCAGGCAAGACGTCGTTGGTGTAGGGATTGTCAACACTGGGATAATCGACGCTGGAGCAATGTGATGTTTTCAGATGAGTCAAGGTTCACTGTTGATTTTTTGGACAGACGTAGGAGGGTGTGGCGTCGTCGAAACGAGCGCTTCCAAGACGTTAACGTCATCAGACATGATCGATTTGGGGGTGGTTCTGTTATGGTGTGGGGAGGCATCACTGTTGCTGGAAGAACGGCTTTACATGTTGTTGCAGGGCGTGTTACAGGCCAGTACTACCGGGACAACATCTTGGCAGTCCATGTTGTGCCGTACGCACGACGTCATGGCCGCCGTTTCATCTTCCAGGATGACAACGCAAGATGTCACAGGGCCAGGATCGTTACAGGTTACCTCCAACAACAGAACATCACCACATTACCTTGGCCAGCACTGAGTCTCGACCTCTCCCCCATCGAGCATGTCTGGGACATGCTTGGACAGAGGTTACGTCAACGTCAACAACGTCCTGCCAATGTCCAAGAACTTGCTGCTGCGTTGCAACAGGAATGGGACAATCTGGACCAAAATGACCTTAGACGTCTCATTAGGAGTATGCCACGTCGGATCAATGCTTGTTTGGCAAACAGAGGAGGATTTACCCGTTACTGACTTGGTTGTGATGCTGTGGTAACTTTGCTGTTTGACCCCGGGTATCATTTTACCCTTATAATGGTCAGTCTGTGCCTTACTTAGTCTAACGATCATTTGGAATAAATCGATGAATGTGAACTTCATTTCATTTTGTCATTTGTTTCTTCGTCAGTTTCATTAGGTGACTTTAATAACACTTAAAAATCAAATATCCCCTACTTTTTTTGAATAGTATATTTAACAAGAATCACTGACTGCAAACAATGTTTCTGATTACTTTGAGTTCAGTAACGGAGCGATATCCACCAATGTACAACTCTCCTACTAGAGACGATAAATCTAGTTGTTGGTCCAGTTGTACCAGGTACTGTACCAGAGCAACGTTGCCGTTAATCGTTGCCCGAGTGAACTGACGACTCTGTAAACCAATTATTTCAACAATGTAGGTTGTGTTTGATACCAGATCTCCATTTCCTATCTCAAGCTACAAATAGGATAAAATAATACATAAATAGGATAAGATAATTCATAAATAGGATATAATAATACATACATAAATAGGATAAGATAATACATACATAAATAGGATAAGATAATACACAACTAGGATATAATAATACCTAAATATGATAAGATAATACATAAATAGGATATAATAATAAATAAATAGGATAAGATAATACATAAACAGGATCAGATAATACATAAATGGGCTTAAAGATACATAAATAGGATAGAATCTATACTAATATTTGTGACTGTCGTTTGTCTGTCTGTTTGTCTGTCTGTTCGGGGTTGGCGGCTACACTAGGTCTGCCCTGAGTCTGAAATTTGGGGTATAGGGGTAGCTCGGACCGGGGAGTAACATAGGCCAGGTGGCGTTAGTCTACCACTTCCGGTTTCGGGGTTATGACCCCCGCGCAAAGCCGGGCATTCTTCTAGTAATACATAAATAGGATAAGATAATACATAAATAGAATAGAATAATAAATAGGATAGAATAATAAATAGGATAGAATAATAAATAGGATAGAATAATACATAAATAGGATAGAATAATACATACATAGGATCTAAAGATACATAAATAGAATAGAATAATAAATAGGATAGAATAATAAATAGGATAGAATAATAAATAGGATAGAATAATAAATAGGATAGAATAATAAATAGGATAGAATAATACATACATAGGATCTAAAGATACATAAATAGGATATAATAATAAATGGGATACAATAATCCATAGATATCCACACATATCCCTAAACAATATTTTGCAACACTCCATGGGTGGACAGACGTTATTTCGCAACACTTGGTTGGGGTGGACTGACGTTTCTTAAGGAAATGGGCCATAATATGGTTCCTGTCAGATTGGTTTCGGCTACCTAGCGTTTAACGGTTAAGGCAACAGAAGTTAAATAGTTTCTAAATGTTGCTGATATTGCAGGCGCAGAGTTCAAATACGCGTGTGGGAATTTCCGAGATCCCGAACAGGTTGATCTCCTTATTAATAACTTATCTGAAAATAGCCCTTTCTTCTGTGTTAACCATTGTGATGTCTGAAATAAATTCAACACACAACAGAAGAATGTTGTATCCATTAATCAATCATTTTCAAAATCTACCTCGATAACTTGATTCTGAATTTTCCATTCCAAATAAATTTTCTTCTTGTAAACGCCAACAGCAAAAAAATTGTCTCCCCCTGCTTGGTACAGCAACAAACCCCTTTCATTGCAATAACGGAACTGGAATGCTAGTCTTGACTCCGCCCCTAGTAACTGGTATCCGCCCCCATCATACCTTATATAGCCATCTATGTTTATATACACTGTATCAGATACATATATAATGTATCCTATTAATAGTATTACTAAAATAGAAAAACAAAATGCAACAATTTACTCAGAACATGGAATCATTGTGTTAAATATGGTCTGTGTTTTATAATGATTTGCCCCTCCCCTTTTTCCTTGTTTGAGTTACGAGGTGGTTCAATGAGTAGTCTTTGGCGCTACCTCACCAACCAGGAGATCGATTGTGGTCTGATCTAAATATTAAGGCCACCTACAGGTCACAAGGTGTGAGAAGGGTTAAGGCACGTGATTGTTGTCGAAGATTAGGTTTAAGTATTTGGGCACAGATCTGAAGTATTCATTCCATATGTATTCTCATAGCAAACTGCATTGCGTATACCCCAGTTGTTTTTTCTGGTCGTCTTTTTACTACAAGGGTATCACAAAATATCTGACTTCAAATTTTTTAAAAATTGTTTCAATAATATGTTTTTAGACTTCCTATGTCTCTCTTTGTGGTATTAATTTCCACAAGATATAGGATCTCTTTTCTCAGAACCCATATTTCTTTGTGGTATAGCATTCTACAAGATTTTCGATTTATTTTAAAAATGACAGACTTATTTGAATATCTTGTGGACACACATTCGACAGATGATCTCCAAACTTTGTGTTTTACAGATTCTAACCCTAATAATCCCAAACCTACTTACATATTAAGTAGTCTTTCATTATAAGGTTTCTTAATGTAAAAGATCCACATATCCTTGATTTGTCTGCCCCTTCTATAGTTTTATATATGGTTAGTATGTAATCTGAAATAATATAATTCATATCTTATAGCATTTTGTGTATATACTGGTGCTGAAATGGTCAATACAGTTAACTTCCTTATTTCAAATTTAACAAAAATAAGGGTTGTAAGGAGATTTTTATTAGATAGTAATCTAGAGGATTAAAGATGCATTATGTAAGATTTAGATAAAGAGCTGGTCATTCTTTCTATAATGGTTCACAAGAAGATAGAGAGAGAGAAATGGGGTTTAACGTCCACTCAACACAAACTAGATCATTTTGGGACTAACACATAGTTCAATTTTATTTCAATAATTCGCTTGTGAGTAGGGGTCGTTAGCAGTGGGAGGAAACTGGAGGACCCTGAGAAAACTCACGAGGTTGGACAGGCAACACTTCTACTTGTCATGTACAACCAGGGAATCGAAACCACGTCAGCTGACTCAATGACAGACCTTATGATACAACGCACACACGCTAACCATTTGGCCACCAATCACCCGCAAAAGTAGATAATGCAAAATAAATATTGAAAATTTCATTCAACTTTCTTTATTCTAAACAAAGTTATCGCTATTTAAAGTTTTGACAAGATGCGAAATATATTATTTATTACTGTAGCAACGGTACATGTTAATCGAGACTAAGTTTCGCTTCTTTATTGCTAAATTAAATCATTAAAGATACATTATGGGAGATTAGATAAAGAGTTGACAGTTCTCACTATAATAGTTAAAAACTAGATAATCTAAAGGTAATTTGTTGAAAATTTCAGTCAAATTGGTCCACCATGAACCGAGATAACAGCTTTGTAAATTTCCGCCTAGCCTCGTTCATCATTACTAAAGTTAGTACGTTAAAAAGCATAGTCTCGATTATCCTTTGTTTTGATTTAATTATCAATGAGCGTTTGCAGCATATAGGATTCTAATCCAGTCATATCGAAGGCTAGCCTTGACATCAGACTACTGTTTATAAACGGAGAGTTTGTATTTGCTTTTTTAGTCTGGAATAGCGTGTGTTTAAATTTCAAAACTGACAATGTAATTTTTATGGAATACTAAAATTCGCCAGTCAAAAATAAAGATGTAAAAAAAAAATATACAACAAAATTTTTAAAAGGTCTCGCTTCTATCAAAAGAAATTTTGTCAAAACATTATCCTGAATTATTACCTCGATAATATAATATCAAACTGGAAATAAATGGGGTTTAACGTCCTACTGCTCTGCTCCAACTCGGCTAATAAAGATTGGCATACATATACGTCATGCAGTGTGTTTTGAGGGAAATTTTGCCCAGACAAAGTCAATACTGTGATGGGATTTCGCCCGTATATTCCGGTCATGTCCGACGCTTGTCCGACCAGGAATATGCCCAATCGGACATAACGACATGGTGAATAATATTCAAAATTCCAAAATTAATATAGTGTACCGAGTGTGTAAATACCATTCAACCCGATTATCGTTGATAATAGACTGGATTGATTAGGTAATTAAGTCATTGGCGTATTTATCGTGTTATACCGTCGATACACCTACCGTGATTAACTACTTATTCTGCCTTGATTGGCCGACTTAATCCTTTGTCGGACAATTCATCAATCCAATCCTGAACAGAAGTCATTGCTTCTCCTTTGTCGGACTATAAATCAATCCAATAAGAGTGATTATAAACTTAATTGTCGGACGTTTCAATCTCCTTGATGTCGCCCGACAACACGTAATTCAGTCATAATTTCTTTTTATGTTACATAGTACAGTAACTGAAACGAAAGGAGAAATCTCGCGAGACACGTGAAATCAAGAGATGTAAACGTGCCGAATCTAATACGTCTGATTCGGAGAAAAGATTCTATTTTGACTGCATATTGTCGGATTTATGATCATATTTTGAATGGTGTTTATGTTTTTAAATAAATAAATAAACACGCCAAGAAATGTTGACGAATATTTCGATTGGAATAACGTAAGTAGTTAATTGTTTTAGACGATAGCGTGTGCTAGAGTCGAATGCGATTATTTAGCAGTTTTTGTCACTCGCTCGTTGTGGTAGAGCGACGTTTACCGTATTTTTTTACCTTCCGTATATAACTCGAAACTGAGTACAAGACGAATGCCGGACTTTGCTGAAAAATGTATCGACTTATGACTCGAAAAATACGGTAATTTATACTCTAATATCGAATTCCAGCTGTCAAGGGTTCTTTTACATGCACGCAAATGTGTACAAGGGACCTCGATTTTTTGTGCCATCCGAACGACTATACATCGTTTTTGGTTAGCGAGCCAACATCTTACTCACTAACCAACCGTGGCTCACGAGTGATATAATAACTCCCACACCCTGTTTTTCATACCATCCGAACGACTATACATTGTTTCTGGTTAGCGAGCTAACATCTTACTAACTGAGCCACCGTGGCTCTCCAGTGATATAATAACTCACACACCCTGTTTTTAAGTATGTTTTTATTATATATTATATACGCCTACAATAGGTAGAGTCATCCATTGTAAACAACAGCAGATGTTTATATACCTACATATACAATGAGATTATCATAAACGCTTTATAACACTATTGATTTCAACTACTTTCATGATTTATTATGTCGCAATAAACCAGACAGCAAAACTAGGCATTTAAATATTTAGAATAACTAAGTCAAACTTGTTTCTATATTGAAACATAAAAATGATTCAATTCAAGAAATGTCTAATTAGCAAAAGCGATAATTAGTATGTGTATACTGGTTGGGTTGGGTATAGTTACTTTAGTAACGAAGTCTTAGCCTGGTCTCTTAAGGCTTCGTTACTAAAGTAACTAGGTTTTGTACATAGTTTAATAAAGATATCTTGAATGATTGATGTGTTAATATCGTTTATTAAAGACAAAGAATATTACAGCTATAGCAAAGAAGAAAATTCAGACCCCTAGCAGAGATCCAGCTGGTTATGAGATTTTCATGTCCTCTAAGTGCTTGATGGTGAAAGTTTTCATAATGCTCTGCTATCCAGTCCTAATGTTTCTAATGTCAGAATAGAAATTGAGACCAGTCCACACACCACATTATGCCGGACACCAAAAACACCATGTTGTAAGAGAATCAAATTAAACAGCATTAGTGAAATAATCCTTATAAGACATATAGAAATAGATTTCACTAAAAATAAAACACACTTATATGGATATACTACTTCTGAATTTATTAACATGCTACGTTTCGATACACATACAGATATCGTTTTCAAGCAAATAATGATAATCAACAATAAATGTGGTACAATATATAGGTAACAAGTGGAAACCATTTAACAGAATAATCAATACTATCAACAACGCATTATCAAGATCAAAGAAGTTATATAAATTAACATGATGAAAGAATAACACTAATAATACAAAAGGAAGAGATTAGAGGATAATTGACTACTAATAATACAAAAGGAAGAGATTAGAGGATAATTGACTACATGAAACCGTAACATCAAGACGCTAATTAACTATATGAAACCATAACTATAAGATGAGATGAAAGTCAGAGATAGAAACAATCATCACAAGTGAAACCTTAACTACAAGATGAAATAAAGGGGGGGGGGGTCATACACTTATGACCACAGACACTTCTCATCACTAACACACACTGATTATCACTAACACACACTGATTAAGAATTAAATAAATCAACCCAAAGATTTGGGAGGAAATGTCCTGAGTCTCTGTTTAATTTTAGCTTATGTTTTTGAATTTCCAAAGCCTCGCGAAGAACTCTGCTTTTCCATGTTGATAGGTTTCTAGCTAGTATTTCTGTACTTTCCCATTTGATTTGGTGCTGTGGGTTTTGGTGGATATGTTCTGCTAGCGCTGATTTGTTTTGTTCTTGTTTTTTAACTGCTGCCTGATGCTCTTTAGTTCTGATTGAAATTGGACGGGATGTTTCGCCCACATAGGCCACATTACACTCACAATTTATTTTGTATATGACTCCCTTTGGGTCCTCTTTTGGTTTTAGTATTCTACCATCAGCTTTTAACATAGTTTTAAGTGTGGTTCCGCTACTGAACACTACCTCTGCACCGATTTGCTCTGTTAAAATTCTTTTTATTTGGTGGCTAGCTGGTCCTATAAATGGGATGGAGATAAAAAGCGGGCTAGTTCTTCTGATGGCAGTGGGTGGTTTGCAGGTATGAGTCAGTGTTTTCTTCATGGTGGCATTAACTGTCTTAGCAGGGTAGTTATTGAATTCTGTAAGGACATGGTTGATATGCTGTAATTCATTATCGAGGAGGTCTTCATCACATATTAATTTTGCGCGTCTCGTTAAGGTACTAATAATTCCTGTTTTTACTTTGGTTGGGTGATTTGAACTATTATGTATGTATTGGTCAGTGTGGGTTGGCTTGCGGTAAACAGTGGTTTTTAGGTAATCTGCGGAGTTGTTTACTAATACATCAAGGAATGGTAATTGGTTGTCTTTTTCTAATTCTACTGTAAATTTCATTCGAGGGTGGATACTGTTGAGGTGTTCAAGAAGGTGTTGTGGATTCTGACCTAGTTCCAAAATGGCAAATACATCATCAACTTTTCTAATCCATGTTTTAGGTAGGATGGGTGAAGTCTTTAAGGCAGCTTCTTCGAAATGGGTCATATATACTTCTGTTATGAGAGGGCTTATGGGAGATCCCATGGGTAGTCCATGAACCTGTTCATAAATTTCTGATTGCCATGAGAAATATGAGGAATTGATACATTGCTCTGTAAGTTGAATGATACTGTCTATTTTGAGGTTTGTGGATAGTTCTTGGTAAATAGATTCTATTTTCTGCCTTAGCACTTGTATTGCTTCATCCCGTGGTATATTCGTAAACAAATCAACAACATCATAACTAACTAACTGACCATTCACATTATTTTGATTAAGTCTATGACAGAATTCTGATGAATCTTTGATGTAGGAACTAGCACTAGTAGCAATTGGTGATAACAGTTTAGAAATATACTGTGCTGTATTATAGTACACTG